AAAGTCAAAATATCGTCTGTGGCTTTGAAAGTTTGTTTTTATTCAAAATGGCGAATTTAACAAAGCAGTGGCTCAAAGACTACATTTACGCTCTTTCCGAAGAGAAATATGCATACTCCGTTATCCAAAAACGATATGAGAGTCATGGTTTTGTGATATCTAAAGCGTCGATAGGTAATATCATCAACAAGAAAGGAAAAAAACGTCAAATTAGAGCCTCAAGTGGGACAAAAATTCCAAACAAGTATCCAAGGAAAAAAACGGACATCTTCGACTATTGAAAAGGTACGTTTAATGTTAAAGAAAATCCCCCTAGTCAAAGGACAGTTGCGAAATCATAAAATGCTCGGTGTCCACTGTAAACAAAATGATAAACGTTGATTTAAATCTTAAGAAAGCGAAACAATGTAATGTGCATCGTCTTCTTCCAAAGCATATCGCTCAACGCAGGACACGCTGCAAAATTCTATATGAGAAACACTTATCCAAAGAAAAATGGAAAACAATTGTCACAATAGATGAAGCATGGGTGTATTTAAATGATTGTAAAAGGGGAGGAAAAAATTTAAGTACATGGTTCAAAGAATCGAACGAAAGTTTTTCTAAGGGATTCATGATTGTTGCTGGATTTTCTTATAATGGCAAGTTAAAAATAATGAGAGTGCAAAACAAATGTCAAAATTAACTCCAAATACTATCAGGAACATATTTTATCGCCAGTTTTTCGGAATGAAATACCATCGCTGTACCCACAGTGCCATCAATGTGTGAGACTCCATCAGGACAAAGCTAGCAGTTACACATCAAAACCCACTGTAAATTTCCTAAAAGAAATGAACAAGAAACTGGTATCAAGGCCATACCCTTAGCTGATATCCCTATTAAATCTCCCGAATGTGTCACCTATGGATTTTTGTGCTTTCGGACTTTTAAAAACTGCATTATCCAAACGTTGTCCCAAAACCCTAACAGTACTCTGGAAAGCTGTTCGGGAGGAATGGGATAGAATACCTCTTCTGCTACTTCAAAAGGCATCCTGGAAATTGCGAAGTCGAAAGATAGTTCAGAATAAGGGATGTCAAATAGAATATTTAAAACACAAGAATTTTATGTAATTTAGTTTTGTGAATACAATATACGTCGTCTAAAAAATGTGTGAACAGCCTCTATAAATAATAGATATCTCGTAATTGTACTCTTTTGCTTTCCAGAAACCTCGAGAAAATACCAGAATGTTCTCGTGCAAGATAAAAAAACTCACAAAAGCTGAATTAAAACATCTCAGTTCAGTTGTTTTCTTTGTGCTGTTATTGATTGTAGCGAATTCACGGGGAGATCAAATTAGTTTTCTCTGTGTTTTGAATTGAGTTCTATTGAACGTTTTAGTAGTTGAAAATGTCACCACTGTGAGATATTGCACGAATATCTCCTAAGAAATTTCGGCATTTTGTTTTATTTCTTGGGATAAGAATAAGTTTTATTAACTTTTTATCGACTTGTGCATTCAATCTATTACGAACCCGTACGCATGCAATAATATTTATTTTAAGTAACCAATTTAGTTAATTTTAAGTTCTTTCCTATAAGCCTTCATTCTTCTAACTATCAATGATTTAAGTTTGGTAGCGCGCATGAATGAATGCAAATTCTACTTTGAGGTGAAAAAGTTTAAATACCGAGATTCAGAAGGAAAGTGTTACTTTGCTGCTAGTTAGATTTCCACGTGGTTTTAAGGAAGATTTTTAGTTTAGTTCTTGTTATTTCAGTTACTGCCCGAGTGAACCAGGTTCAAATTCCATAATCGGGGTAAGCGCCAAGCTCGGCGAGAGTTTTTTATTTGGCGCGATTTTAATTTGGTTGTGGTTTCCGGCTGTATGTTTTCTTGTGGCAAACCTATAGCTTTATTTCGGTAACTGCAAGAGCGCGAATTCAGTGTAGCCAGATTTTTTTTTAAAAATTTAATTTTGAAATACTGTGTTTGTTTTTAAAAGTTTTACTGTTTAATATTATTGTTATATGTATGTTTAATATTATATTTATATAAATATTTGCAGAAGGTTAAGCTGTTGTTGGTGGGAGAATGCTGAATTTCATATGACATGAAGTTTATAATTTATGAATATTTTCATTTAATTTTATTTAGTTAATTTTTTTTTTAGTTTTGTTTCTTGCATGTGGCAATCGAAAGATGTGGAATATTTAAAGCTTTGAACGAAAGCTGTTTAGTGTGTTAAATTCCACGACGATACTAACTTGAATATTTTAGTTAGTTTACGATGCTGAATACGCATAATTTGCTATTCTGTTTACGTTTAAAATTGACTTCGAGTGCTCTGATCTGATAAGTGTATACATTTATTTACAAGAATTGTTTATTCTACTATTTTATGATGAATTACATATATATAGAACTATGCTTTTACTTGCAAAGCTGTTGAACTTTGCAATCTCATCTAGTATAGTTTTACTCATCTAGTATTTTATCATCTCATTTTACTATTCTGTTTACGTAAAATAACGGCGTTTAACTACTGTTAAACTTAAAAGTTACTATTCTGTTTACGTTTAAAAATCGCATTTTAGTGCTTTCATTTAGTGCGCCTAAAAAATTTGCCAAATGTTGAAGGCCAAAATAGTTTGGCGCCAACTTACCCCGCTTATGGAATTTTAGCAGTATATTAGCATCGAGTCGACGTACTGTGAATTTTTAAAAGAGTTTAATAAAGGGTACTTTTAACCCTTCTCCTGTGTAGTTCCTACACATACAGTTGTAACTTAGAAAAGATAAGCAAGTGGTTCTTACAACGTGACGATAGATACTACTGTTACATTCTTGTACTTGCGATTCAGTTTCTTAATCATGCAAGCTCTGCCACCATGGCCAAATGCGATATGAGAGTCGCGTGTGATGTTGAAGACTTCATCAATTGTAACATAATGGGTGCTACTTTGGTAGACAGTTGCACGGATTTTTGGCGATTTACGTTGGCGCAATTGTTGGCGCGATTTTTGCAATCGTTAGCCATCTTGAAAAACGCTGTTTTTACGCATAGTAAAATATTCGAAACTAAAAAAAAAAAAAAAAAAAAAAAAAAAAAAAATATATATAAATAAATAAATAAATAACGTTAAAAGTAATGGAATCATTTTTTGTTGAAAATGTCGTTTTTTAAGATGGCAGGCAAGTGTAAATAAGTACATTTACTATGAGTATAAAATACTAAAGTAAGGTTATTAATACTTTCATATAGCAAAAAAGAGAATAAAAAACACGCTATAAAACATTGTACCAACGTTTAATTAGATTAAAATATTACTGAAATTGAATATCGAATTAAAAACCATCTACCACCATTTAAAAGAATTAGAATTATTAAATTCAAATACTTTAAAATACGTATATAGAATATAATTAACATTAAAACATATGTGACAATAATTATCTCAGCAATTTTGAAAATAGTGTATTAATTTTTTTAACAAAAATTGAAGTATACAATTATAAAATAAAAGAAAAATATGTACTTACATTTTTTTGAGTAATTTAACCTGTTGTTTATTGATAAGTACCACAAAAAAAATTGGAATCATAATTGAATCGGTTCTTTTAAGCATCTACATCTCTCGCACTTCATTGAAGAAGCAACTAGCGAGGTTTCCTCCAAAAATTTAAAATAAATTTCCTCTGACGCTATTAACAATTTATAAATAAACCTTTGATTAGGAAAGACAGATTGGCCAAAATAAGGTCTCGAAAGGGCAATTTTTTTATTCCAATACCAATAATTCCCAATAACAACATTCATCTTCCAAACGGAGATATCCATTCCATTTGAAATCTGAGGAATTCGAAGAGATGAATAATAAAATTTTAAAATGGCGCGGTAATGCACAAATATTTGAGTAACCAATCAGGGAGCTGATTACATCACATATAGAACTAAAATTATTCAAATAATCATTCATAATAAATCATTTTTTAAAAAAATGCAAAATTAAATTGTATTTTAATATTTAACAGCCATAAATAATGTTTAAAACATTAGATTAAATTTATAGATCTTAAAACTAATTACTTTTAAAATAAGGTGACGTCATTGATTACATCATCCACAAAATAAAATTTCATAAAGTATCATAAACAATAAAATTTTTATTTCAAATAAAAATGCAAAATTAAATTTGGTTTTTAATATTTAGAAGCCATAAATAATATTTAAAACACTGAATTTATGCATAATAAAACTCCTTATTTTTTATATAAAATGACAACAAAGTATCGGTTACCATAAATAACTTGTCCAGCAATGGGTTTACCATAAGTCGTATTATTCTCCAAAAGAAAAATCGCCAAAATCCGTGCAACCGTCTACCAAAGTAGCACAACATAATACAGCATTTTCTGCAGATAGTGGCGCCAGAAGTTTCTCCGTTAGTCCTCATATGTTTAGAATAGCACAGCGTTTCAACCTTCTGTAATCAAATTTGTTTTTCGTTTACACATTTTGCTGTTTTCGCTTCATGTATTGAAGAAGTGTACGTCTCATTTGCTACATGAGCGCTGTTATCGCTCATGTTACATATTCAGACAAAATCTAGAACTTTTTCCGCATAACATCACTCATTTCCTTCCAGCAAAATACATTAAAATGGAAACAAACTGCTATTTTAGATCTTTGCCGCTTACACATGTTTGAATTCGCTTGAAGCTAGACTGCAAATGGACATTCAGACAATCGTGCCCAGCCAAAAGACGAAATAACGAGACGGTTTCTTACTTGCAGACTAGGAATAAAACTAAGTAAACTGTAATCTCTTCTTCATGTAAGTATAAAGATAATTGTATAACAGTTCACAAATTTCATTATTAGTGCATTTACTACTCTCTTAGTTACGAGTCAATATTTGGTACATTGATTCTTTTTCGAACGTATAAGTTACTTCATTATGTAAATGAGGAAAATGAAACATAAACATATACAAAATATTTTTAACATTACCTAAAGAGTCTTTCGTGCAAGCAGTATGCAAAACTGTTTGTTGAAATCCTTGTATACTTGTAACATCGGCTCCCTTTTGTAGAAGTAATCTAGTTAACTCATAATCTGAAACAATGGCCGCCAAATGTAGAAGAATATTGCACAAGGCATCCTCATAATTGTAACACCAATTAGGAGGATATGAGGAGCTTTCTGAAAATAAAAATTGCTTAAATTAAAAACTTCTAGAAGGAAAGTAGATATGAATTCATGCGTGACTGATTAAAATGATTTTAAAGACGTTTTTATTACAGAGTATGTATAACAATCACCAGGACTTAATGTCTAAAACCAGAAGTGCGTGAGCTCTCTGGGGAAAAATAAATAAATCAAATGACTAATAATTAAAATTAAATAAATATTAAGAGATAAATGAAAAGTTTTTAAAATATTAAATTAATTATAAGCAGTTAAATAACAGAAATAAAATATCGGACCGCGTCTTATTTGAGGCTCTGATCGGACTTACAATTTCATACAAAACCTAAGATCAGCCGGCCTCCGCTGACTTTAGACCCTAAATATACAGTATAGCATACCATTTTAAGGAGGAGGGGGCGGTATTCCTTTTCCAGCACACCAGTGGAAAAAAGTAAAACGATTAATAGCCAATAATAAAAACAGAGAGAATGCTAGGAACAATATGAGAGTATGCAAAGAAATTTTAATGGATAATTGTACCGTCGAAAACAAACATAGAGGAGGCCAACACTTTCTGACCACGATGCCCTACCGATATAATTCTAGCTGTCAAGCAGAACTGGCCAAAAAATTTCCTCCAGAATCCGATTCGATGATAGCATTGGAACAAATGTAAGGTCTGCATCAGTGACAATTTTTGTCTCCCGTATTTGGTTACTTAGTTCAAGTCTTCAAGAGCTGTGCGGTGAGTGTTCGCTAGCACCGGAAGTGGGACACCAAGTAATCACTGTTAATTCTTTCGGGAACAAAACATTGTTCGCATGCAATTAGTGATGGAGTGCGCCAATAACGCGATAAATAGTGTAATCTGGACACCCTGCAAAAGATTTAATTGTGTAACTCACTTTTCTTAGTCCTTTTAGAAAGGGCAGTGATATGTATGATACTCTCTGTTATATAACTCCCTTTCGATATGTATTTGATACTAACGAATCTTAATCTATTTTCATGTATCAATAAAATGTGTTTGTGATCTTCCCATTTCCGTCTACAAGAACATTTTTGGATTAAGTTACTTGGCTAAACAAGACAGTACATTTTAAAAGGAAATGCTTGCGTGAGGTAAAAGCAGTAAACAGAGGATTACAGCTTTAGTTTGTGCTAATATGGGTGGGAGCAAAAAGCTTAAATTATTAGTGATTGAGAAGTTAAAGAATATACCAGGGTTCGTAGCGGTCCTTATAATTTGAAAATAAAGTATAAAGGCCCTTATAGGTGCTTACTTTTTCTTTAAAGCCCTTATTTTTTTGCTTTTAGTGCTTTTTTTTTTGTCACTTTCCAATCTGGATTGAATAGGACTAAAAGTTCTGCGGTCTACCAACCCAAGCGAAGAATGATTCTATTCCGGAAATTTAACGCCGTCTGTTGCAAATTAGAATGAAAAACACTCCAGTTATTTACTTCTTTATTCGCCCAATAACCGCAGCTGTTGATTCCGATTGCGTAATATAACATAGGGAAGAATTATGGCGGACTTATTGCGCAATAACGTTTGTGATATTTTGCAGAGATAATTAATTTTGATGTTCTGTCTGAGATTTGTTTATGAACACTTAAAAGAGTTTTATTGTGCTTGCTAAGCAGTATATTTTTCAGTTCCATTGGTTTATTTTTATATGATGCACATGTCGAAATGTCAAAAGCATTTATTTAGCAGAAAAATCTAAAGTGCGGCTACAGTCTACCCCCCCCCCCCTCCGCTCCTCTTTTTCAAGTTAGGCTCGACTGTCCGAACATTCGCCAATTTCCAAGTATGCGGGTTAGTTAAGCTTTTACTGTTAAAGGATGACTGCATGAAGCAAATTTCTGTCTTCTGATTTCAGAAATGTTCTTCTTTTTTACTTAAATTACTTTGCTTGCAATATCTATTAAGGGAAAACTGATATACAATGAAAATTTAGAAAATGTTCAAAATTTAGATTTAAATTATTTAAATATCAATATGAGTGGAAAAATAAATTGTATTTATTATTAGGTTCCAAGCGAATACAATAAATATGCCTTATTATTTATTTTCTCTGTTTTGAACTGAAATTTCATCATTAAATTTTGTAATATAGTTTAGTTTCTGCCTAGTTTTTTTTTCTCTCATTGTAAACTAGTTCTGTAAATTGAACTGTTATTTAAAATTTAAAAAAAAAAAAAAAGTAATTATTTTCCATGGTTGAGGTAATGTTATTCTCTCTTAATAAATACTGCATTTTTCATATTTTAAATTACACGTCTAATTTTTAAGGTTATGCAGTTGTGTATAATGTAATTAGACAGATGCTTACATTTTTTCTTAAAATGTGCTTGAAAAGTGCTTATAGGTGCTTATTTTTTTAACTAAAATGTGGCTCTAAATCCTGTATACTGTGTTTTAAAGGAATTTGAACAGTGCTTGTGTGTTTAAAACTGTGTTTTAAAGGAAAACACTTGAACACTGTGTTTTAAAGGAATTTGATTACATATCCAATACAAAAGCATGGATGACGCGATAAACAGTTTTCTCTGGAAAACTGTAAAATTCTTTCATCTGTGGATAACGCAACCTGACACAATAACCTTCCAGAACTGATTTCCATACATGTTGGAACATTTGCCACTAAACATGACTTCGAAGCTGCAACCAATGGATTAAAAAAATCATCTAGAGTCTTAAAACAAATTACCTTAAGAGACTTAACAACAGATCATTGTTTCTTTAGATTGTGGTGATAACTACGACATTACTTTGCTGACAACTAGTCTATTCGCCGAAGGGGATGCTTTTAAAGAAAACGTAATTAGTAATTGCTTTTGTCATGCTAAATTCATGCACGCCGATGAGAACAATAGTAACGAAGCATGCGATGATATTGATACGGCTTTTCTTGAATTAGAAAAATTTGAATCTGGTTACGATATAAGGTATTGCTCCCGCCTTCTTAGTATGCCTTCGTGGTGTAGTGATCTGCACAATCAGCGCGTATTCGAAAGGTCCGTGGTTCGAGTCCCGGCGAGGGCATCGCACATTGCTCATGTCACCTGCTTCGAAGTAACCTAATGTCTTTACAACGTTGCTTTTCCTGATTATGTAAGGGTAGATGGAGACTTGGAAGTCTGTGGAAAATTGAGCGATGATGACATAATAAAAACTACACGAGAAGATTAAAAAGGAAGAGACATCGGATTCAGAAGAGAATGCAGAGCGTCCTAATAATCAAGGTATTATGGACTCTTAAAAGCTCTGAAAGCCTTTGTTCAGGATGAACTTTCCTCTGAAAATGAATTGAAATGCTTACTTCAAATCAAGAAGCTGGCTGAAAAATGTGGGCATAATAAACAAAACCAAACATCAATTTTAAAGTTTTTCCCAAGAGTGTAATTCAAATTTTGAATTAAAGTTTACCTTCCGCTGCATATCTTCTGCTTCAGTTTATGATTAAGGTAAGTGTTTATTGCTTTTTAATATGTTTAATTTTAGATAGCATAGTATAATACATTTTCTGGGGTTATGCATATTTTTTAATTGAAGCAAAATCCGAAATTTGAGCTTTAGTTTTTTAAAACAAATTATTTTTTTATTAAAATGATGTAGAAGCAATTAATTTAATAAAAATATCTTCACCCAAGTTTACTGAAACAGCAAAAATCACTCCTCTTTTTAATGAACTCTTCTACTGTACATCACTATAGTATAACAAAATTTTTTGCTTCCCAGACAGCATGGTGGTTAGGGCAGCTGATTGCAACGCTGAAGGGCCCGCGTTCAAATCCCGGAGAAGGCATGGACGTAAAATTATGTGTCCCCTCACAGGAAGTAAGAATAAAAGGAGGGACCAATTCGCACTACAAGTGAAGCACGAGTGTCAGGCTTTGGTCTCCAGATGGGGTATTTTTTGTTTACATCCAGAGCTACCTTGACAGTGCTTTAATAGTATTTCCATACACGACAGTTCCATACAAATAGAAAAGCATAAAAGAAATATTCATTGTTTGTTAGATAATAGAAATTTGTATAGTTTAGTGACATTTACGCAAAAATCACATCTTGGTTATTTTTCGATAACTTACGGTACCTTTAAAATTGTATACATCTTTTGATACCCTTGATAGAGTATTCACTACTTTTATTTTGTGTTCCAAGCACCAAAGTGTTTTAAATGAAAGACATACATACATTCATACAATAACATGATAATATGTCATCCGCATATTATCATTTTATCTTTATATAATTGAAAAACAATCACTTTACTACTAAAAAATAAAAAAAAAATAAAGTTCTGTCTCTCTTTCTTAAAATTTTGTTTGGCAGCATGTTTAATGGATGACTAAATGTAATAGAAAAATTATAAATGAAAACTTTTGTCATTCAGTGCATATGCTTGAGTAGTGGTCTGCTATTTTCGAAAGAGTTTCAAGACATGGAAAAAAAAAAAAAAAAAAAAAAACATCATCATCAATGTTATTAGTCGGTATATCAATATACTTTGCATTTGAATCTTCTGGATTACCTCGCAGTATGAAAATTTCAGGTATATTTGTAAATTTAGATCAATTAGTTGTTTCAACTTTTTTTTAAAAAATCAAGCAATATTATGCACATTTCACTGGATTAGATTAAATTTATAGATATTAAAACCAATTACCTTTAAAGCAAGGTGACGTCACTGATTACATCATCCACAACTTAAATTATACAGAATATCATAAACAATAAAATTTTTATTTCAAATAAAAATGCAAAATTAAATTGATTTTTAATATTTAGAAGCCAGAAATAATATTTAAAACACGGAATTTATGCCTAATAAAACGCATTATTTTTTAAATAAATGATAACAAAGTATCGGTTTCAAAAAAAAAAAAAAAAAAAAAAATTATATGTACTTACATTTTTTTTAGTATTTAACTTGTCGTATATTGATAAGTACCACCAAAAAAAATCGGAAATCAATGAAAAGAATTTGAAAAATGTAATATAATTTTAAAAATGTAATCTAAAGAGAAAAATTGGAAAAATGTAATCTCTCGAATTCCTTAATTCGAAGAGATAAATAATAAAATTTTAAAATGGCGCGGTAATGCACAAATACTCAGTAACCAATCAGGCAGC